TAAACTGAAAAATAATGCCCTCCTTACCTTCTAAACAACTTGTCTTTATTCCAGGATTATAGTTTTTCACGTATGAGCCTGAGTTATGTCTACGAAATCGCAATATTACATCAGTTAAATCTTCCCCGAAAACCAAGGCCACTTGAAACCAATAGCAACATAGCAACAAGCGTCATTGAGGGGATATGCAATAAAGTCGCTCGTATTTACAACAAACCACAATTATAAATGTGAATAATATTGGAAGTACATGATAAACATTTCTACAAAGGACATTATCATTAGTTCACACATCATATAAAAGTCAGCATAACAGGAGTAGTAAGCTGGTGTACCAAAATAATCAGAGTTATTTTCACAGAATGTGCCTTCATACCTATCAAAAAGTATTAATTTACAATACTTCACGATGGCAATTTATAGCATAACTGATCGTGCCTGTAAAAATGGCTTGCATTTCTTGCAAACTTCTGTTTATAAGAAAACAGAAACTATTATTATTGGTCTGCGTTGAGTACAATTCACTTCTGATGAAATTGCTGATAATATCATACAAGTATATCACTTATTTGGGTTAATACCCATTTTTGATATAAATCAAAAACGAGAAACAATGCCTCATACACGAAGGTTTTATGGAGGAATTAACTCCAAGCTCTATTTCTTCCCCAAGTATTTGTAATCCATCCAACACATACTTGGGTTTTTCTAATACGAAAACAGTATTTAGATATTTCTTGACGTGCTCCATTGAATGACTAGTTAGCGGATTGTACCCACAAACCGTAGTCAAAAGGGACAGCAACCATGTAATTTCACCACAAATCAAATTCATGTAATTTAAATAATACTTATCCATGCCTGTACAACTGATGTGTCCTACATGGGAATACACGTGTATTTTAGTATTTAATATTATTTAAATACGCTTACTAATCGTAAATGCAATTCATCGTATTGATGATGCCTGTAAAACAGTGTCCCTCATGTACAAAAATGAGAATATATTATTATTATTCTAAATACTATCCGAAGCCTAATACAGTATCAAATATTCATTGTTTCAAGATGTAGCAAATTTAGGAAGAAACATTTGAAATTCCACTGGCAATATAATACAGTTGAAAGAATCCACTGATCCACGAACTCCAACAAATTACTACCATTTCTCAGGTGACGTTGCTTTTAATACGGCTATATCTTAGTACTACGCGCTTTCGTGGACAACTAATTGTTTCCGAGACCATTCACGCATATTTTATCTTCCAATAAAACCACTGGATATCAAAAGATTTCAAAACAGTTACCCAAAACATTTACACCGCTGTTTGTAAGACAATGGCGTTCCACAACCGTAGATTACTGAAATATAGTTCAGACGGTAGATGTGTTTTACACCGAGAGATAAAAAAGCTAGTTTCTCCGCGTTTCTGAACAAAAGCTGATTATAAAATCAAGAAATGCATGCAACTGAGGGGATTGTCGGCAAGTAACTTCAAACAACGCGACGGAAATGAAGCAAACTCTCAAAACTGTTAACTCGAAAGCCATTCATCTACTTAGGTCACCCAGAGGACTGTCATGACCAAACTCAGAAAGTGGTTGTCCTGATGTTATTAGAGGCACTCAGTCCCCGCTTGGATAATGGCTGTGCCAATGTAGTTGAAGACTGAATGATCAGTTTATTTTTATTTTATTTTTTATTTTTGGTTACAGCTTGATTCCACACAGTATTTTTGGTACAAGTATGGAATTTTCAGCATGGATATGGGTAGCCCAGATTTTGCAGGCCGACCATTGATATCAGGTGTGCGTCAGCAAGGGATCAAACCTCGGACCATGTGCATGGTCGGCGAGAGTCCTAACCACTGTGCCACCGATGCACGGTTTTTCACTCAAACCCAACTCTATATTTTGGCGGGAGTCATCGTTTCATCGTTCGTTGTTCGCTGAAAGGCAGACAAAAACTGTCAGAAGTATCATTGTAATTTATTGTTATGACATTTGTTCTTAGACTTTGTGTACAACAACCTAATGGTTGGCTCTCTATTAGTGCAGGAATAAACGGTTCTTGAGTCACCAATTTGTGTTCTGGGTTTTTTGCGCTGGTTATTACGCATAGTTCCTGAAAGTCTTCCAATGACAGTGTGAGTTCCGGTGTAGTCAGACCTGGACATTGACAGATGGTTTCTGCAGACAATTGCCAAAAGTGATGGATAAGAACCCAAATGGTGACACTGAAGTCCTAACGGATGATATGCATGTTAAACTTGGAGTAGATAACTCAGGAAGACAACTTATCAGTGGTCCGGAGGCCCTTGGGGAAATGAATGAGGGCACCTGACAATTCGCAAGCATCTGCGCCTTCAGTGATTTTATGATTTGGAGGCAGCGTAAACAAGCACAGGAGTATTAACAGATCAGCTATGACAAACAAAAATCAGACGCATCATATCACCTCAATGTCAATGAAGGTGAGACGTTCCTCAGTGGATGTGAAACAGAGAAGAGGAGGAGATGTGACGAGTGCCAGTAAAGACAAATGACAAAGTCAGAACACACTAGAAATGAACTTCCTGTAAGACAACTTAGGACATTGTATCAGATAAAGAGATCGCTATCCATGAAGAACTCGAAACACGTCGAACCAAAGAAGCATACGGTAGAAAACATAATAACCAAAGAGAGGCAAAAGAAACACTGGATTAATCATTTCAAGACTGCCTAGAACTGAACAACACCTGCACCCAGACGAGAAATGCCCCCAACAGCCACAAAACTGCTAATGCACATCAATCCTTCGACAAAAGCAGACTTCTTTAACGCCGTAAAACTACCAAAAACCTCTAAGGAAGCAGCGAAAACGAATCCCGGTAGTATGTGACGGCACTACCTTAGAAAGTTTGGGAGAAACGAAATGTAGAAGGCCCATGCTGTCGAGCTATCAAGGGGCGACCTAGGACTTTGCATGGCTCGGCACGAAATCACGCCACTGTCCGTGCCAAAAAAACATTAGACCGAGTCATCCTGGAGAGAACAAAACACACTCCAGATGCAAAACTCGGCCCAAAATAAGCTGAATTCAGGAAGAGCGAATCATGCGTGAATCAAATCTCAACGTAATGCATCTTCAACGAACCGACAGTAGAATGACAGCCAAATTTTGCACCTCAACCCAACTTACTCTGATTACGACTTCAATGGAGTCGACTGTGAAGAAATTCGAAATTTTTTCAACACCACAGAGCGTCTATGATCGTGATCGATCTCGCCCGACAAATATATGAAGTCGCATGTCGAGTGATTCACAACGGAAAACACAGTGAGAACGGGGGCGAGACAAGGTTGGTTATTATCACCAATGACACTCCTGAGTGTGATACACTAGGTCATGAAACGGACAGTGTGGAAAGAGAAGAGTTATATCGTTTCGAATGACGAAAATGCCCTGGAAGACCTGGACTTCGAGGATGATTTATATTTGATGTCGAACAAACTCGAAGACCTACGGGCGGAAACCAAAAATTTAGAAGAAGCAGTCAACGGAGGCGCGACTCTAACTTATTACAGGATAGGCAGATTGAATGGAGACACCTAGTTCCTATCAACGAAGGAATATCTAACGAAGCCATTGCTTTCAGTAGTCGGCAACATCGTTTCAACTCCGGACATACCCAATGATGATTTCAAAGTCACCGTAGGAGAAGCAAAACAGACGTTTTTACTCCCAAGATCAGTGAGGAAAAACACAGTATTCACCACAAGGAACATGACTGTGATTTTTAGCACTAGCAACAAGTCATTTCATCAATAAGATTTCACTGAGATAAGCACCATGTCGCAAAATAAATTTCTAGAAGGCTGTAGGCTTCCTTCAGCATCGACCCACAGGGACCAGAAACTGAAGATCAAATGGTCAAGGGACTGTACTAATGAACGAGACAAGTACCTATTGGCCAGTAAATCTACCTAAGGAAAAGGAAATGGATTGGCTTTGGCTGCCAGGCGCTAGAAGCGTAATTTGAGTGGGGAAAATGAGCTGAAAGCTTCATCCCTATTCGTCTCTAGGAAAAGCGAAAACCCACACATTAGTGAAACGATTGTTTCTCGTGACAATTACAAAAAAGTCTGTTGTAACAGAATTATTCATATCTGGATTGTAATAACGTTGCCTTATGAGCCCCAGGATAGGGCTTACGTAGTTTTGAGTACAATGTCATCAAATCGTGAGTTATAGTCTCCCAGTGATAAAATCTGCAACTGTTGTCAGTTTTTCATTGCATAATAAGTAACAATCTTCACAATTAAGTTCATTCTAAGAATGAAGGCGTATGAAGAAATATTTGTTTTGTGTCCACTGTCGTTTCCTTATGTGATTTTAAATACCTATATTGTAGAATTAGGTCTTGAAAATTAGTTAGTTAGTAGTATTTTTCAGTCAATATGAAGGGGACGCTGAAATCTGAAGTTTAATACTGAAAACTTGGCATGTCAGTCCTATCTTTCGTTAGTTCCTAGTCTGTAAGCAACTTCATGTCTTCATTTGTGGATGAAGAAGCGCTTCCGTTCGGTGAGATAGTGAGTACTGAATTTAAAAAAATTGATTACCGAATTTTCCTTTCATAAGTTGCATTGTTTTTAAAGTGATATTCGGTCTAAGATTCCAATAAGTGCCAGTCTACATGGTGGTATTTCCTAGAGCGTTATCAAGGCTGAAGTCACAAATTACGCGTCGTATTAATTATATTTTCACTAACCGGCACTAACTTCTTCCTACTTAATTATACTCAGAAAATGTGTATCTACCAGACGCGTAGAAATCGGCCTTGTGAACACTGCAAGGGTGTTAAATGTTTTAAAATAAGATAATATAAAAGACTCCAAAGAGAGAATAAATCACCACACTAATACCATTTTTTACGGAGTGCTATAAATTCTGGATAGAAATATTCCTCCAGAAGGCATTGGACATTTAATATTGTTTTTGTCTACGTATTCAGACAACCCGCTTCCGTTTAGGTACATTCAAGATGAAGATGCTCACGACGAAGTATGTTAAGATATGTGAGTCGGAAGATGACTCACCGATTGAAGTGCCACTAGAAGACGATGATACACTTCTTCTGTCCACATTAACTGCTCAATTTCCTGATTGCACCGGTCTTAAGTATAAATCCGGGGATACTGGGTGTTATCGTGGCGTCCGACTTGTCGATGATCGTTTGTACCCTCCAGCTGATGGACATTGGCACGGAAACACCTTTTGTTGTGTATTTCCTAAATGTAAGCTCTAGATTCCAGTTTTCCTTTTTTTCAGATAAATATGTGTCGCCGCAGTAAGTTGATGTAGAAATGATTCACTATGCTGATGCACTTAGCATTTGGTAACGTAGTTGAAATTGGTAGATTTAGTTCGTTCTTATTTTGCCTGCGGTAACGGTAGAGAACAGACACCGAAATCGAATGACTCTGAATGTACTGCCTGTGTACACTTTATTCCATGGATGAGTAGACATTCTAAGCCTAGATTAAGTTCAAGTGTATTCTCGCCTCTTCCGAAACTGTCGTATCATTCTTGAGCTCTGTAGCTTTTCGTAACTGAGGTGTAACCCACACTGCACTAAACAGGATGATTGCTTCGCAAAGGGCAGGAGATATTCGCTTTTTTAGTTTATGTTGGTTCGTGTTAGCGCTGAACTCATTGGATCTTTGCAATTGGGAACTGCCATCCAAGTAAAGCTACAGCTTCAGTTAGTCGAGGTTGACGACCTAGTTTCGTACGTCCACACATTGAAGTGATCATTCATCTTTTTTCCAGCGGAGCAGACCAAATGAATATTTTGTGTTTGTGCTGAAGTTCAAGCAGCTTTCTAAACACAGGTGTTGAAGCCATGTGTATGTCACTCGCCAGCATTAGATTAGTCGGTTCACGACAGACCAACGTCGTTATATGTGGCGATTGTGAATCTCGTAATATGGTCAGGTTGGTGAGTCTCAATTTTTGCTGCAACTTCGAAAATCACCTGAAAGTAGGCAAGTGCATTCTCTAAGGTCAGAAGTATATTTAGGGATTTGAAGATGTAGCAACCTGCTCTGTAATCTCCAACCACATAACTGTGTTGAAGTACCCCATGAGTTTCCGTCATGGAGTGATGACGGTGGTGCTAATAAACTTCAGATGGTTGTATCTTTAGCAAGTCAAGAGAGCAAAACCAGACATAACAACGTTAAACATGGTCACTATTGCACGTATAAAATGAGGGAGATTATATGTTTACCACTAGTAAGAAGTAGATAGATACATGTTTGCTTTTACGGCTTAGCATTCCACTTTATACGTTTGTCTTAAAATCCAGGCATAACACACCAACAGCGGTCTTGTTAGATATAAACAGTGTAATAAGTGCAAGTAAGTGTCTGTATTTGCGTCGGTGGCGCAGCAGTAGAGTGCTCACTGACCTCGCAGGTGGTCCGGAGTTCGGTCCCTGGCCGACGCACTCCTTTACCTCAGTAAAGAGGAAAGGTTGGGCATGAGCCTAGCAACCCCATCCCGTAAAAATGATCAAGCCTGTAGCTTGAAGTGTTCCATTGGGAATGTAAAGGAATAAAGAAATGTCTGTATCGTCTTCTACCGTCACAGCGTAGAACCTCAGGTCCAGATTTTACTTAAAGGTTCTAAAAACTTCGATTGACATACTCTGTTATTCACAGTTACTACTTTCTCATAATGTTTCATTCCAGGTTCGAAAAGAAAGGCAGACGAAGATACGTTAGAAATTAAGTCGAAGATGAAAAGATTCGATAAGAAAACTTGCACAGATTTAATAGTCTTGAATTTACCATGGAGGGCGGACGAAGACGCACTACGCGAGTACTTTAGTCAGTATGGTGACTTGGTAATGGTCCAGGTGAGTTCAGAATTGTCTACGTAATTTAAAGCCACATCAATACCACAACGGGAGTGGTATAAATGCGTCTGAAATACTATTGGTAATAAGTATTTTTACAGGTGCTTAACCAAACAACCACTTGTGTCCGTTTGTTCACTACTGTTTAAGTCCACTGAGTCTGGTGGTTGGTAGTTAGTTATCTCAGTACTTCGCTGGTGTCAATTTCTGTAAGTCCATCGAGAATGCGATAGAAGACTCCGCAACATGAAGTTGGTTACATTTTCATGTATCCAGCCGTTGAATTCATACATGGTTTAGATACTTCACTTTTTTCATACGTCTAGTCGATATCGTTCTGTTGATGTAGAACTATGCACAAACGTCCACACAGAATGTTGTCCGTTAAACTACTTTTTGTTAGAAGCAGGAATGTGTAGATCTGTGGTTTAGTGGTTTGAGCACTTGCATTCGGCCAATGGATCCCGAGCTGGAGTCCCGCACCCCAACTTCAGCCTGAGTGACTGGGTAGTATCATTAGTCCTCACAATACAGATGTGGCTCATAGCCCACTACCGAGCAATTTAGTAATAACTGAGTAACGAACTACTAAGTACAAAATCAACTTTGGTATAGTTAGCACAATTAGTCGTTAGTAGGGTTAATACACAGGAATAACTACTCTACTTAAGATATTTGCTTAGCTAAATATTGGATTTAGGTTGCAGCAGATGTGAGTTATTTCTAGTTATACGTTGGTATTTTATTCCACCAACAGGTCTGGCGAACGTCACCATCCGCACCCAATATGGATTTTGTGGAGTATTCTTTTGCACACAGAAAGTTGTAGGACCCATTCAGAGCCTCCATACGTTGAGTAAAAGTGTTGCTATTACTATATGATGCGACCAAATTCGAGTCAGCGGGGGAAAAATGCAAATATTAAAAATGCCTGAAGTTCAGTATACGACAGACGACTTGAAAATAGTAATACAATTAGGATTAAGATGAGATTTTGAGAGTCGATTACGAGCTGCATCATTTATAAGTCTCAAACTTAAGTTATCTGAAAAACCTCAATTTAAAACAACTCTGAGTAGTCCAAGCTAATGATCAGTGTCTAAGTTGATTGGTACCATGACTTCATCTTTTTTCAACCTAGCCATTTTACAGGGATCAGCCTAACGAACATAGTCTCTAAAATCCTAGGCTCAGTAATCATGCATAGACTAAGCAGAACTCGGGAGGAACAGATAAGGGAAAATCAAGCAGGCTTTAGACCAGGTAGAGGGTGCATAGATCATATCTTCACTCTTCGACAGGTTCTAGAACATAGACACACTTTTCGGCGTCCAACAATTGCCATATTTCTTGACTTGAAGGCGGACTTCGACTCCGTGGATCGAAAGGTACTATGGCAATGTTTGACTGTGAAGGAAGTGCCAAGAAAGTACATTCCACTAATCAAGGCACTCTATTCAAACTCACGTAGTCGTGTAAGGGCTTATGGGGAATTGTCATCTGAATTGATAACAACCAGTGGTGTCCTACAGGGATGTCCACTTTCCCCATTCCTGTTTAACTTCATCATAGATAGGCTAATGGAAGTATCCTTAACTGAACGTAACGACTTAGGAATCGACTTGTTACCAGGGAATAAATAGTCTTATGGACTTCGAATATGCAGATGACATAGTCCTGTTATGGAAGGATACTGACAAAATGCAGAGTCTTCTGAACACCTTGACCAACAATCTTCGTATGTTTGGCATGCCATTCCCCCTCTATAAAATGTAAGGTGCTGCTACAGGACTGGACTCCTGTAGCTTAGTGATAGGGAGTGGAGTGATAGAAAATGTTGACCACTTCACCTATTTGGGAAGTTGTATTAGCACCAACGGATTGATTGGCGATGAAATCTCAGCACGGATCCGAAAAGCTCGAGCTGCTTTCGCTGACTTACACCATCTCTGGCGTAGGCGTGACATCCGGTTATCAACCAAGGGACGTGTGTACTGCTCAGCAGTTCGCTCCGTCCTTCTCTATGGCTCTGAAACATGGCCAATACGCGCTGAAGACATGAAAAGGTTGACTGCTTTCGATCATAGATGTCTGCGATCTCTGTCTCACGTTAGGTGGTTTCACAAGATAAGTAATGTTGATGTTAGGCGTAGAGTGTTGGGCAAAGAGGGAAAATCAATCGACGAGGCGATAAAGTTGCATAGACTAAGATGGCTAGGTTAGGTGGTGCGCATGCCTAACCATCGCCTCCCCCGACGGGCTTTGCTAGCTGATATAGGTTCAGGTTGGAGAAGAGCCAGTGGTGGCCAAACAAAAACATGGCATCAATCCATGAAATCCTTGACAGTTAAACTGAGTCAGGTAGGGAGATGCAGACTCCCGGATTGGGGCCCTCGGGACTCTAGGAATCAATGGCTGGAGACAATAGGTGACACGGCTCAAAATCGTTGTCAATGGCGCAGATGTATTCAGTCTCTGTAATCTTTCATATTCCTTTCTACCATTACTCATTCTGTTCCGCTCTTATACTTGTCAAACTCTATTAATTCTCTTCACTCATCCTCTTGTCTACCTTTGTGTGCTATTTGGAACGTGGCAACTCGAACTGCTGCACTTCGGTGCCAAGTTCTATGTTGAATCCAGACAGACAGACAGCCATTTTACAGCTAATATCGTATAGCATGCTAGGTTGAGGTTTGGGATTCGCCTTATTTGTCAAAGCCACTTCAGTCAGCGGGAGAATACTTCACCAACACATACCACTGGACGCAAATATTTTGTTGGATGACTTATTCCATAGTTTTATTTCAAAATTTCTATTAAGTGGCTTCCGTTAAGCTGTTACACTTGCTGGACGATCATCTTCAATCAATAGGTTATCCCTGTAGGACCTGTCGATCAAATGTGAATTACGGAACAGGGAATACAGTCGGTCCCTACCAACGCTGTGCCTGTTCTTTAAAATTCGATAGTGGGTAGGCGTCGATATATGATGACATGCTTCTGAACATGCTGTCTCCAAGGTTCTCTCAGTTGTTACGTAACAAGACTTGCAGTCCTACACATTTTTTGACCAAGTGGGGTGTGTAACGCGTTTGCGTATCACACACTAACTGCCGATGAGATTTTGGTTTCAAACTCAACATCACTTACATCGTCTTGCTCAGTGAATTGTCACGAAGGACCTTAGCATTAAATGTAGTTCGTAACCTGACACATGGTATTTGTTATCACCCACTTAAGTTGCTTTTTTCACTGTTGAGCCTGTCAGGAAAGTTTGAAAATTCAAACGGGGTGACAGCCAATCAAAAGGGCATTTTTAACTTCATATTTTGGCTAACTGTAATTAGAATTAAGTAAGTTTCGATTCGAAACTTACACTTCGCAGGTGATGTATGCCTGGTGTCACAAATCAAAGATTTGCAAGCGGAAACCAACAAACTGGCTGAAGAGACTGGCAGCGAAGGCAGAACTGTAGGTGAACGCAGGTGATGATAACCAACGTGCAGCAACAGCAACCAGTACCAATCACTACAAACGTGAGATATTTGACAGAGGTCGTCTCCTTCACTTATCTAGGAAGCGTCGTTTCAACCACAGGAACAGATAAAGATGTCAAAGTCAGAAACGGAAAGGCAAGATACGCCATCACCAACCTGAAATCAGTTTGGAATTACTGTGCATTCCATAGCACAAACAACAAGATTTGAATTTTCAACATCAAAGTGCAGTAAATCAGTTCTTGTTTGTGGGTCAGAAACTTAGCGCGTCGCAAAACGATTCCAAACCAGTTACAAGATTTCACCAGCAGCTGCCTTCGCTAACTCCCTACTGAAGATCAAATGGCAGAAAAAATTAGCATCAATAAACTGGCAACAACCCAACCATGAGCCGATTGCTAAACAAATACGTAGGGGAAAATGGAGATGGATTGGGTATACGTTGAAGGGAACGTAGAATGAAATCGGGCGCCAGGCCATTACTCTAGTGGAATCCAAATGAGGAGCGACCAGTGGGTCATGGATGCGAGGGTGACATGGAGATGGTCGTGCGGTAGAGGGATGAAAATTCATAGGCAATCGTGGACCAAGCTGAATAGGACTGCAGAAAATTGGACAAAGTCGAAATGTGTTGATGATGTCGAACCCAAGAGAATACTAATGAGTTTTGATTCACATTTGGACTTCTGGTTCGATCTATATTTCACATCATTAACCATATCCCTACCTGGCATACCAGGCTGTCCCAATCAGAATACTTATAGGATTTTAATTTCTGCTTCAGGTTCTGCACTAGCATTATGCTTTTCTTGTACTTTCTTCTCCTGCTTCGCGTGCTACACGGAATGTGGCGACTTGAACTTCCGCACATTTGTGCAAAGTTCTATGTCGAAAACAGACAGACTAGCATTTTGTATGCTCACACAACATAAATTTTGGACGATTCCGTAAAAGTGTTTCATCCAGTCCAACATAACACGCATGCAGTACTGCTTACAAACACCCATCTTTACAACACGGGAACATGTCAATCTGTCATAATAATAAATTGTTCACCTTTCACTTGCAGGTAAAGCGTGATCCACTTACCCAACAAAGCAAAGGATACGGTTTTATTCGATTCGCTGACTATACGGCGCAAGTCATGTGTTTGGCTGAAAGGCATTCTATTGACAATCGACAGTGTGATGTCCGCATTCCGATATCAAAAGTAAGGTCCTTTTACTTACTTTTCAGGATTATTTGAAACTATAAAACCTCTCCATGATTGCATGCTGTTCAGAAGTTCGTTGATTTGTTGAATTCCTGCACTGGTCAGACATAAATCCATACAACTTGAGTGTGGGGTTGATTATATAGTTCACACTAGTCGGCCAAAATCAATTTGCTTATAGACATATGGGAATTTAACTGAAGTTAGACCGATTGACCCCATTGAGTTAAATCATTTAAAGTAGCTAGACTATTGAAATGCATCCACTTGCATGTAATTACTACGACGAGAAGGGTAAAAGCTAGTTAGGTAGGAACGAGTTAATCATCTAATCAATATCACATGAAGTCGAAATATCGCAACACCCATGTTTGACACATGGAAAGTGGCAACAAGAAATACGGTGGGAATGTATAAAGCAAGTTATGAAGTCTAATAATTACGGATACGATTATGAGCAACAACTTATGCTTGAGAGGTCATCCAGTTATCAATGCTGTATCTCTGTTAACTTAATTTGTGATTTGTTTCTACGTCGAAAATATTTGAATAGGAATATCAGCTATTTGAAATTACTCCTAAAATCTCAACTTACAATTTGGCATTTGTGTGATAAATGTTTTGCCATACTTCGTACATTTATGAACTAGTTTTTGGTCTTGAAGTTCCAACTATTAATACGTAATACACGTCAGAGCATAGAAACAATGCAAGACAAGAAACTGGTCTTGATTAAAGTCTATTCAGATATCGTGAGCAAGAAATGCTTGAAACTGATTTTGTAAAACGAATTCGTGCTTATAACAAAAGCCATGTGACAATGCTTGTGTTAATAACTTAACAGATTATTGTGTATCCTTACGTATAATTTCCGGTTCTAAGCTCATTTTTGCATAACTTGTATATTAGTGCGTCGCTTCTAGTGACCACTTCAGTGCAGTGGAGAAATAAGGAAATGGCAGGAATAAAGTAGTACTTCTTTCGAAAAATATGTATGTATGATTAACAATTATTGGTGACGTAGAGGATCTAAAGCTAAATTGTTCACTATTATAGGTATTATCATCAAGTGTGACCAACCAGATTTCCTAAAGGGAGTCAATTCCTGAGGTGTCGAACTAAAGCATAGTCACCTCCCGTAGATATGTAATAAAGTTAGGAAAAAGATGATAGTATGGAGCATTCTTGAAGATTTACTTCAAACCGTTAGTCTCAACAAGCTTTTACGTGGCTGCATGAGTTTTACTCGAGTGTTGTGATAATTTAAATTTAATTTTCAGAAAACCGTTCAGTGATACTACCACAGCGAATGTTGATTGATGAAGCTGAATGTCGCCCTCCAGTCAAGAAGTGTTTCATGTGTTTAAAAAGACTGAATTTAAAATATTTAATCAACTGGTAATATTATGCTAAACGAAGATACATCTTTGTGTTTATTTCATTTAGACGGAGGGGATCGTCAAGAAGTCTCTCGGAAAGTCCACATCGGCAGGCTTACGGAAGATATTAGTGCCGAAACTCTTCGTCAGCATTTCTCTCAATACGGACGGGTAATTCTTTATATACTTTGAATTGTAGTCAAACGACATTTCACAAAATTGTTATCGTCCGATTGCGTAATACATTTTCACTTTCATCCACTAAGTCGTGTATGTGCATACAATAGTATTGTATTTCAAACTTTGTGTAGCACCGTACATTTGTTAAAATGTAAAACATATTCATTAAAAATGGTTGGTGTAAGAATATTAAATAGTATCTTCCTTTAAAATGTGGCTCGAATAATTGCTAGTGTCTTACAGGAGCGTTGATATTCATTCAGGTGACTAATATCCATAGTTAGGAGCTAGAGATAGATTATGATGGATTATCGCCAGATTTCAGAATTATTGGTTAGAATCTATTTAGATGCATTTTCCGGATGAGATCTCGGGTATAATATACCATTAGTACTTTCCTCGATTTCTGTTTTCCGCCCAGCTTCTTAAACCAAATGGTAAGTTCCAGGTCCTCAACGTGCTTGTTCGTTTGGGGTCTGGTAGTTTAGCTTAGCTTATATTAGTTGTTTGAGAATTGGCAATATGTAATCACGTCAGGATTTTCGGTTTTTCCGTTTCTGAGGAAGAATTTATCAGTGGATGGAATGACCGAACTTAAAGTTTTCTCATTGGACTAGAGCTGTTTCGGTATAATAAGATAATGGTTTTGATGGAATATAGTTTCACTATCCAAAATACTTTAAATGATGACATTTTATCTCACTTTTTCATAAATTAATATTAGGTATCCGATGTCTTCATACCCAAACCGTTTCGATCATTCGCTTTTGTAACATTCGAAGATCCCGAAGTCGCATCCTCTTTGTTGGGCAAGGATCAAGACATTGAAGGTGTTCGAGTTACTGTTGGCTCTGCTGTTCCGAAACTCCCTCCGAACGCACGCCTAAACACAAATAATCAACGAATCCCAGCCAATCCAATGCAAGCTGCATTTCAGTCTACAATGATGGGAACTAGTCAGTGGAGTGGTATGTATTTTTTCCTTTTCCGAGTTTAGTTGATTATCTTATACTTTAAAATTCTGTCATAGAAATATTTCATTATGATAAATGGAGTTATTGTTTATTTGTACAGAATTGTAAAAAAAGAATTAGTGGAAGTAGATGCAAAGATATAAATGATATCAATGAGATGCTCACTAGCGACTGGCCCTATTCAGGTAGGTAGTTCTAGTGAGAAGTCGTGACCAGTAGGGTGCAGCAGGACGAATGTGAAGCAGTAGTTAGAATTCTTGGGCCATTGGAACGGGTCACAGTGGCTTAATGGTATACGAGCTCGCCTTGTAACCGGAAGGTCCTGGGTTGGAATCCCGGTGAAGGCGTACTGCTGAAAGTTTCAAACCAGGACGAAACAGCTGTCCAGTACTCCCAGGTTTTCCAGTGGTTGTCTAACTAATGTCAGCTCATGGTGAAATCCTGTAACCAATCAAATCCCTACAAATCAACACTTGAATATAACTCATCTGACAAAAAGGCATTTCATCAAAATTGCACAATTTATATGTACAATCTTATCCTACAGACAAAACACCGTGATTGATGTGTGTTTGTATTTTATTTGTAAAATTACATATTTTTAAGATAAGTCTGATAAAAGCTAAGGAAAACAATAATGTCCACTTAAATGTGTTCTACTGAGCTTTACTATGTTAATATTTTATATTCTGAAATCTCGTGGGGATCCTATTGCATTTAAGGCACTGAATGAGTACCTGAAGACTGGCTGAAGCGAAAACATCGTTGGAATTTTTCAAAGGGTGTGTAGAAAACGAACATTATTCTAAACTATTTCGGAGGTGGTTAAAACGAATGAGGATTTATCATAATCCTAAGAGTTAAAAAGACATGCCCTTAATCAGATTGATTCTGTTAAAACGCTTATAAATGATCTAGAAAGGAACATACCACAAAGACAATTTCATTACTAAAAATTACCTGTTTATGATGGCCATGGCAGGGACAGGGGTTAGACGTATTTCTTTTGGGTACAAAGCGTGGGTTTGAGCTTTTGGATAGCTAGCGCCTCGACTATGCCCAGATGGCTTGGTTTCACTCCCTTTGATAGGTTCGGTTGAATCTTGTATATTACTCTGAAGGATTTTTCGAAAGGCGCTCAATGTCCTAAATTGACTAGATGTACTGTCACTGAACTATATACACGCTTTTGATCTCCTTTTACTAACCAGGCTGGGTAGTGTTCACGAGCGCCTTTTTCAAGTCGGCGCATGGTACGGTCAACGTACTCAGCTCCACAAGAGCAAGTAAACTGGTATATGCACGTTGAGGTGGCCCAATGCGACAGCTTGTCTCTCACGTTCTGGCTGAACAGTTTCTTGCAGGAAAACGTCAGTCGGAAGCTAGCGGGGAAGTATGTTTTCCCCAGCGACTTAGAGAGGCGTTTGCGAAGGATTACAGCTTCAATGTCACCTTTGAATTCTAGATTAAGCAGAAGTATTTTCTTTGGGACGGATTGGACTTGTTCGGAAGTCTTCTTACATTTGAGATTCTTGTCTATAAACCTGGCAGGAAACCGTTTTCCATCAGAGTTTTTCGAAGATTACGCAGTTCTTCTTCAACCACTTCCTTGCTGCATATCTTGCGAATCCTCGAGGAAAGAGCATATATCAGGTTCCTTTTTCTGCTTAGGGGCACGAAGCTTTGAAGTTGATGAATTGTCCATTCCATGTAGGCTTTTTGTGTATGGACGTTTCTAGACAGTTTTCGGCGTTTCTTGTCATTTGGACGTCGAGGAAGTGGAACATTCCGTCGGATTCAGTCTCAAGTGTAAAGTCGATGTTTGGGTGGGTGTTATTGAAGATTTGAACTAGGTTTTTTTAATCACAAATCTCATCAGAAATAATGAAAGTATCATCGATGTATCTCTTGTAGAGATGAAGGTCGTTGATAGTTGATGATAAGGCGTTGTTCTCTAAGCTAGCCCTAAAGCAGTCGGTTAGGAAGAGTCCTAAGTGAGAATCCATTGCTGTTCCATCTACTTGCCTATATATTTCCTTGTTGAAACTAAAGCATACGTTGAAGGTGCATTGAAGTAACAGTTCTTTCAGGTAATGGATCGGTATTGGATTGAATGTAGTCACAAAGGAAACACGATTTCTGTCAATGAAACGTTGGTGAAGAGACGACATCCAGGAAGACCATTCTCTTTTCTGCCACATCGACATTCTTAATTGAATCAACAAAGTCGAATGTGTCACAGAGGTTGTGTCTTGACAGCTTCTCTTTCACCGGTCCGAGAATCTCCACCAGCCATTTTGCGATTGTATGATATGGAAAATCAATCATATCTAGTATTGGGCGGAGTGGGACGTCTTGTTTGTGCACTTTAGTTAAGCCGTACATGCGCGGCGTTGTAGAACCAGATGGGCGCAGTTGTTCGTATAGTTTTGCACTGATGATGGATACGTCTTTCATTTTCTCCAATATCTTTGTTAGCTGGAGCTCCGTCTGTTCGGTGGGATCTTTCTGTGGAGACTGTTTCTGAAACTTTTTATCATCAGATAGTATCACCGAGAGTTTGCATAGGTAGTCTGATTTGTTCATCAGGACGATTCCGGAACCTATATCTGGTCGTGTGATGATCAAGTTTTCATTATCCTTCAGTTCTTTCAGCTACTTTCGATGTTCTTTGGAAAGTAGGTTACGAAACCTGGGTTTTTTGTTGATGTAATCGAGGTAGCAATTTAAAGCGGTTGATCTGAAGAGGTGTGCATTCTCATATGAGGTTGGGACCAGATCTTTCGTCTGGTCGATTAAATTCCCGAATTGCACTTTCGTGTTCAGTTCATTCACTTTTGACGTTGCATCACAAAACTTAGGTCCAAGTGCTAAGATCAGTGTTATCACAGATTGCCTCACTTTTCCATCCTTATTATTGATGAAACTATTATTAATACTACTATTATTATTATCATTACTACTATTATGACTAATTGCACAATTTATATTCACCATCTTATTATCCTATAGACAAAACATCATGATTGGTTTATATTTGTATTTTATTTTTAAAATTATATATATTAGAGTTAAGCCTGATGAGATCTAATTGAAAACAATATTGTTCACTTAAATGTGTTAATCTAAATTTCTTCAAAAATTGATCGTGGTGTGACGGTTCCGGAAAATCCTCAAGAGACCTACATTGACTTGTTTTGTTACCAGACTTATTATCCTGTTGGAAGCAGAGGCACTCATTTGGTTATATTCTCAATTATTTGTGGTACTGAAACCTAAATTAAACATGATAGTGAACACGTAAATGATACCTCCACATTTCGCAATCCATAGAATTCAGTTATACTTGGCTTCTGTCAATGACTGTTTCCAGAAAGCATCTGTTTTTGAGTATATGGAACAGTTTGAATTTATTCTGTATCCACTGGCAATACTGTCCAATACACGGATCAGATGAAAACGTTCAATGGATAGTCATTTCGAATCAAGATACCAGTGCATAAAATTGCTACTCACATTATTTGCATGAGGAATTGAGTGATATGCTCCCGAAAAACTACATGTATTTACTCAGGAGATAACTTTTCTTTGTAGCTTGGCACCCGGCATATAGTGGAATGATGACCAATAACCGGTATGGAGGACAAACTCCTGTAAAAGGTGGAAACCGTTCAAGTAATGGCTCTGTAGGTGGGTTGAATCCAGCAGCAGCAGCCGCCGCTGCCGTTTTAGCAGCAGAATACACTCGTGTTCATGTGAGTGATTTCGATATTTATGCATATTTATTTCTATGATTCTATTACCACGGTCATGCCCTTAAAACCGGACTGACTGGTAGACATGTGGGTCTACCTGCATGGACTAGAAAACCCTGATTGTATATGGACTCCAGAATCTGAAGTGACCGGATGGTCTTTGAATCTATTTTGGTCATTTTCAACCGTGAAAACGCTGCTCACCGACTTCGTGGGGCGGACTTCAAGTCAGAAGCTAAGAAAGTATTCCCTTGAGACCGCATTGGCGTCCGGGTAGTACTTCACTCTTTGCACAAAGTACAAAACGATGGATGAGGAACTATGTCCCCATAATCACTATTACATGCTACTTCTCCAGTCACATCATGTCTTATTTTCGACTTAATCTTCGGAGGCTGTGTAGTCGTACTCATATTTACCGAAACATGCAGTAGTCTATTGCAGAATAACAGGGAGTAGCAATCGCCGTAACTGACATTATCCAGAATCGGTTAATAAAATAGAAAATTTTGAAGAGTTGCGTAATAGTCAATGACACAGAAGAAGAAGTTTGAAATGTGATAAGGTTTAAATTGTTATTGAATGAGCGGTAACGTAGTTGTTATTTTATTTGAAAAGTGTAAAAGAGGGCGAGAAAATGTAAAAAAAGAAAATATGAGTGATAATAATGAATTAATCAGTAGAAATAAAAGTGGACGATTGGGGAAGACATACCTTCGGTGAATATAAGTACGACTGTACAGCCTCTAAAGATTTTGTCTATCGAGAAAATTTTATTCACTGAATGGTGTTTTATTTTCCTTATGACTGCGTACTTTTGGTGTGTCCGATTTTATTTTTTATGTTTTTACCACCTCTCACTACTTTTGGTGACTTCTGTCACCATGCTTTCCCTACTGTTTGGAATATCAGCTCATCTGTACCGCTCCAGTATGCTAGCCTGCTCCAGATTGCTCACCTCCAGTAGCATACCTAAATTGACTATCCTGAAACCGTATGTTACTTTCGGACTTTCCATCCACAATTTTCGCATATCGATGCAGAAAGGTCTTGCCAGAAGCTTGGAGAGCCTCCTCATCGACTTCTACTACAATTCAGAGACATGCATTCAAGATCCCAGTGAAGTGCTGTCTGAAGCGCTCTATCTGCAAGTTCAAATGTTTGTACCACCTGCGCTTATCCGTCAACCCTGTAGTAATTGTGATGAATGATGTATCTAACCGCATAGTGAAAGTCAGAGCGGCCTATGTCAACTTGGTAGACATAATGTCTCCTATGTGTGTTATACTAATTCCGATGGCTTTTAGTCCTAACAGCATACCTACTGCCCACTGTCTAAGATCATCAGTACTTAAATGAATTTAGTGTCCTACAGTTAATACAATACGTATATGTGGTGAGAGCAGGCCGTGAGAAAATATGAGCAAGGCTGATTCAACAACCAATCACAGCAAAGTTAACGTGGCAAAATATGATTCGCAGATAGAGAACTCTATTTGTCGAGGAATCCCGAAACAACCAATCAGAAGCCTGCGTTTGTCTGCCTAACTTCTGATAAACAACCAATCAGATAACTGCGCTTGTCTACTTGCATAAGCTATAATAATGTATGTGAAATATGTATAAATACGTGTTGATTTTCATAATAAAACGATCTGTTGCCTGGCCCTTGTCTTCTGTTGTTACATATGGATCAGAGGAGTTATTTGAATAGATAGTCTTGATATGATCAGACGTTAGGTAGAAGTAGGAGTGGGACGACTTGGCTTAGGCTTCTTAGTGCTTTTTGACATAGCTCAGAGTTTTTCACAGTGGCATGAGCGAGTGTATTCACTCCTTGTTACCTAAAACCATTTACTTAATTGTTTCCCCTAACGGCCATCTAGTACAATCTTAATAGTTTCTCTGCTTTTGTGATTACTACTTGAAACGATGTACCTTCGTACAGTCTTAGGTTAAGTTACCGCTACATGTAATCTTTAGTTTTTTGTAGAATCATTCACTTTTTCATTCCTAATTTCTTTGTAGAATCGAAATTCCAGCACACCTATCAACGGACAGCAGGAATACAATGGTCTGCCAGTGGATTCCACAAACAATGCCGCATTAGCCACAATGAATATACTTAGTAATCCAAATGTCGTGGCTGCCATTGTTAGTGCTGCTACTGGAGCTGGAAATACTTCCATGCTAGGTAGTTCTAGTGTAAGTGCATTCACAACTTCTTATAAGGTTATAGCAAAACTGCCTACATGTACTTTGAGTATTGCGCTATATGGCTATTGTGTATTATCTTATTCTGTTAATGTTTTAAGTATCGTTATGGGACCCATGAATGACCTTAATCATCCTAAAACAAATTATGTCGGAGTTTAATCAGGAAAATCTCTCAATGAATCACACTTATTTTCAAAAGATTTCGAACATGTTTGTTAGTGCTGTTTTAAACATTCAAACAGACACTTAATTTGTATGATTTTCGATCATACAGTTATTTCCCATTCATCCATGACTAATTAACTTTTCTTTCAAATGGTTTTCTTACGAAAGCCTTATCTATATTGGAGTTGTGAAAATTTATTAGTAGAACAGTTGTAATACCTTAGGTCTAATCTCTGTAGCTCAGATGCAGTTGAGAAGAAAATGGTCAGTTCCTGAAACATTATGTTTTATACAAATATTTTCATGTCGCAAGCTGAAACCGTGTGATTTAAGACAGATATTTCTCATGCTGTCGTAGTAAAATTTACATGATGCTAGGTGTCCCATCCAATTATGGATCACAATAGAGAAGTCCACAGTTTGTCATCATGCCGATCTCTCCATGTTTAAATTGTTTTGCATACTTGTTAACCTGTAATTCTAAATACTGTACTTTTATGTTCTTGTCCTATTTTTTTTATTCTTTTTTTTTCAGGTAGTTTGAAACTAGAGATGGATTTGAGTTGTTGAATACTTGATTGCTGCATTTTTGTTTACTTCTATCTACTTTCACCGTGAAAGGCTACTTGAATTTTATCAACTCTATTCATGTGTTTGTAAAAGATTTGGCATTATTAAACCAACTCATTTATTTGTATGAATTGATTGTGTTGTGTTAAGATGAGTGGTTTAAACGTGCTTTTATTGTGAGACTGGAACTGTTGGGCTGAGGATTTTGATTATGTGTTGATATTGTGCGAATATATTTGTGTACTGCGTGATAATAGGAGTTTTGCGTACGCGTTCGTGTGTGGTCGAATTCTGTATGGTTAGATTGCTTGGGTTGAATATTTTGTACATCGAAATTGCGTGTCGAATGATTAAGATGTAGGAAAGTCGTCTCGCCACACTTCCTGAGGGAGTTGTCTCAGCACAACGAGGTTACATGTTTACTTCGGCATTTTCCTAACTTCATGCAGTAGTACTTTGAAAAGAAGTACTAAGCCACTTTTTGAGGGAACTACTATTAGGATACGCCTATAGTTGGATTCACTATGAGATTTTCACGTTACGTTTTCAGTAAGCCATGTGGTGTGCTGACATTATCAGGGGGTCATATTGTCTCAATACCAACCTGAACATTGATTTGTCCTTGACAGTTTGATGGACAAATAAATAAATTTGTTGGAGGTTTTGAATTTGCGTTCATCTGAAATATTTGTTTGCGCTGCACACTTGATTTTAATACTAGGTGCTCAGTTAACGCATGATTGTTTAATATAACCGGTTTGCTTCTTATCTACAACATTTATGGATTGATACCTGTTATTTGAGCTTGGATGCGTATGAGGCCGTTTGCTGTTCGGTGGCTGTAATCAGGACGATGTTCTTTTTCTTGCTCTCATCTTATCTTCCTTGCTCGATTAAAAATTCTTCACGATTTGTTCACACTAACTTTACATACCTTAGCTCCTATTGTTCGTGTAGTCATTTACAGTTGTTATTGATAACGTTCTTGCATTGCTATTGATATTCCATGTACTAATCCACACAAACCATCTCCAAATCCATTTCCATACAGGTTTCAAGATGTTATTATACTACATACAGAGGCAATTATGGTTGTTGAATGAGAACTCTGTGTCGCCACAGTAGAACCGGTGACGTGCTGTCACTCATAGCTTATTTTTAAACATCTGTTTGTGAAATTTAATGTGACTTCCTGCTAACCAGCATAATTCTTTATTATATTTAATAACCTTAGTCTTTTAACAACTTACTATTTACTCAATAAATGAAAATTTCCCCACATTCTTATGAAGTGGTTTAACATGAAATAATGCGAAACTAATCACTTGATAACGGTAGTTTACAATATTTAGGAACTTAGCAGAGTAGACATATGTGAAATGTATATTCACCAAGTTTACTTTAGAACACGTCTGCGGATAGTAATGCACTCCTTACGAAGTCTTGCTGAGTTGCTTGCGGTATTAATCTTCTTTCCCTGCATATAACGTTTCATAGCTGCTTATCAGTCTTAGTTTCAGATTTTAAATTTTAAAGTAGAGGTTCCTAGAATACGCGCAACTGGGAATTTACTTCTTTAGGCTTTGTATAATGTAAGTTTATAGTTTTGAAACGCAGGATGAATGTATGAATTATTCCAGTTTGACAAAAAAGCATTTCCACTCAAAATCATTTAATTAGAGGAAACCAGGTGAGTTCTTTTGTGACAATGCATAAGTCTTAAAGACAGTAGTTGTGTTTTACTTCGGTGGTGTGTCGTGAGATTATTTAAATTAGACAAGTGTGGCGACTCAAACTGCCGCACATCAGTTCAAAGTTCAATGTTGTAACCAGTCAGTCAGACGGTGAATATAAGTTGACCAGTATGTTCTCACCACATGTTTTCTTTTGGGCGCACGATATATTGTTGCTGTTGTCGTTCGTGTACTGAGATTACTTATCATTCACTCTCTTGGCTAGAGGAAATGTGTTCATTACTCGTAGTGCAGTGTGACACCAAGGGATAGGGAACAGAATTATCCTACAAAAAAAAGTAAAGTAAGTACGGGATTGAAGAATGAAACTGATCAATTACATGTAAGAGATTACTAGTCGTTTCATAATATTTCCGGAAGTAGGATTTGTAGCTCATCCCCAAAATTTTAAATATCCAATAGTTAAAGTCTGCGTGCAATATTACTTCCTTTTACCATCGTTGTCCAGGTGGCATTCTTTTAACAGCCCTGTGCATCTATCATTTCCATGAGGCTAGAGGGCAATCCTTCTTTAGGTGGTATTGCCTGGCCAACTAACGGAGGTTTGTTTTAATAGTGTGGAGTCCGATGGACTTTTGCCTTTTATGGTCACATTGTGCTGATGGACGTTTCTTTATATGCTATTGATAAATTCTGTCGGTAACAGAAGCCACAACACAATGCACTTTTATGTATTTGTTCGCATAGCATAAAACTGAAATTATACGGCTTCCGCGTAGGAAATCGCCGAAAAGTTATTTTTTGCTGAACTTCATAGTTATCAGTCGAACACTAAAACTAGTTCCCCCAAATTAAGGTGATCAGTGGTCACTATCTCTGATGAGTTTGTTGAAATACCTCTCTAACTGTTACTCAGAAATGGTGAAATGAAGGCCATAGGTGTATTGCTGAAATGCTTTTATCTACAGGTCGATGCACCTGCAATTTACTCTTCATAAGAAACCACTCTGAATTTATTTGCGTTATAATGAATTTAAGAATGGAACTAAGTTAATAATCATGTAGTGCACTCACTCCAGAATCGTACTTGGCACTTGCCACGACCATTCATTGTGCACTTCGTTGAAATGATCACCAATCGTAACTTTAAAATCTAATCAGCTACCCGAAATAAATTGAGTTTGAAGTCATGAAGGTTTTGCTTTGTACCTAACCCTACTAAACTTTGTATAGTATTGTAACAGCAAAAGGCAAAACACGGAAGCTAAGGTATGTTATTCATCGATAAAACCCCTATCAATATATATATATATATATTAACTAATCACAGCGTGAGATTTAAGTTCACATTAAACGGCGTGAAATAGAATGCCCTAACACACATAATATTCTGTTGCTAATGCAGTAAGTGTAAAGTATTCTGACTCTAGCAACAAACAGAATGTTCAAATAGATATATCGTTACTGATGCCGTATCGAACTGTGGGAATATGTGAGAGTAATATTCCGTTGGAACACATTTTCTGAATCACACCACATTTTATTACCTTCCTGAAGCTCAGGGTTAGTGGCTTTTTACATTGCTCAACTTTTGACAAGTAAGAGGTAGTTGGTATTCTGTGTACTATAATTTATTCGCAACGGCTAGAGGTCAAGGCTGGCCGGTAGGTACGAGTTAATTTCAGGTTAGCAGTCACTACAAATTATTCCATTGAACCTGTGGAGCTATATAAACTGAGAAATTCGTTTCAGAAATTATAAAGCAATAAACGACTCATGCGAATAGTTAATGGAATTTAGACCTATCTTATTCACAGTCGGAATCAGAAAAAGTCGTTGAACAATTGTTGGCGAAACCAATCAAAATAGCCTAGGCTTAGTCGACTGGTACTGATTTAAGCTAATCACAAAAGAACCCTGATTCCTCTTAAGAATATCAGTTCATAGTAATGACTCACTAGTAACGAGGATATAATACTAGCAAGTCGAGATGGTCTAATATAACAAACATTTCATGATAACTACAAAGACATGCCTTAAACTCCTTAAAGCACTAATTTGGACAAACTGGTGAGGAATGGATTTCCCGAATTTCCACCACTGACTTAAAGCCCAGTTCATCGGGAGTTCTGCAATGCTAAGCATGTGAAACTTAGTTTGATTGAAATATTTCAAAAATTATGAGATTCACAATCTTGACGTTCTTGATTAATTCAGTAAATTCGGATATAAGAATGAGCTGTAAGTCTTATTCAATGTTTAATTTACAAACCATTTATTACGATCGAACAAAACCTGGTTATATCCGGTCTCACTAGAAATTACACATCTGAACAAAAGATATTCCATTGATCCAGCAAGTTAAAACTATGCAATTATTCCCTTGATAAATAGTTCATCCGAGAGTGATACCTTTTGAGCGATACGATGATTTCATTTCCGTCAGCACTCATATTCATTTAACACTGCTATGCCATGTCTTTTTTTATTCAATACAATCCTATCAGCCGGGTCAATGGGATTGATTTGCGGTACGTACACTTACTGACTCTCTAGTTTACAATTTGAACAGTCTACCATTATCCATACACTTTCACATAATTATATTACTACCATATTATATCTTCTCATATCTAGTTAAATCTCGACAGCCACGTCAACGAGATCGATTCACGGTACGTACATTCTCTGTTCTTACGCTTACTTTTGCTTTCATCATCATTATCGGTGGACTGACTGGCTTCCTTGGTGTAGTTTCTAGCTCCACATCCAACCTGACCTCTCATTTGTTTCATATGAATAACTGAGTGAAATGTCGGCTTCACTTAAATTGTTTTTGTTTCTATTTTCCGAATTCCCTGAATCACCTACCATCCAACCATCATTATCTTGACGGCGATTAGATGTCACAGATGAAAATGTAGCTATGGGGAGTATATCCTGTCTTACACTGTGTATTCACTTGTTTCTTTCTTTATTTATTCAGTTGAATTGAGTAGGTGACTGTGTAATTTCTTTTCAAGTCATTTGAGCAGGAATCTGAGTGTACGATAACATGCCTTATCTTACGAGCGATTAAATGACCATGTGAATGGGATTATTACTATTATTATTCCCTTGGGCTCCTACTGGAACGAAAGACTTCAGCAGGAGTTTCACTCCGTACTCTTACTTAGCTGCCTCCATGTTCTCCTCGAGAATTCGCCTCGTCGTTTCCTATTCGGGTTCCACTGGTGTACCTGGCTGAATGACTAAGTTTCAACGCAGTACCCTACACAAA